TCATGACCCTTTACATTTTAATTTATCAAAGGTTATTATGACCTCACAATTTACTATTGTGTACTTTTGGATAATCTATGTGAAATCTCTAAGTGACAATTTCCTTCCCTATTACATAGACATAACCATTGCATCTACTTCATAACACCTGAACTGAGGTCTGATACTGCGTGTAACTAAGAACTTCATAAACCGGAGCTGTTATTATTAGTTATACTGAAGTTGGCTCATGGGTGTACCCCTGTGATTAGCAGAATGTCTAGCACCTTACAGGGGTTAGCACATATTTACATAACAGATTCATCAGTCATGATATTAATTTAGTACAAAAATAAAGCTTTTTTATTTTTATATTATAGTAAAAGGGCCAATAATTTAATGAGAATACTGGCAAATAAATATATAATAAATAGATTGGTGCTAGGATAGATTTATTAAGTATATATCTTTTGAAATACTTTCTGTGGACACATTCCTTTTCTAGACCCTATGAATTCAGAGATGAATAAAAGAGATTAATTCTCTGCCTATCTGGAGCTTACCTTCCCTGGGGAAGGCAGATACTATGCGAGTAAACAAGCAAGTATATGACATTATTGGTGCTTAGTGGCATGAAGGAAAATTTATATCAAGAAATCCAGGCCATTAAGCTGCCCTGGAAGGCCTCTTCAGAAGTGACATTTGTGCAGGATGCTGTCAGGGGCCTGCTGGAACCAAGAAGGCATCTCAATGGAGATGGTACTTACATTGAGTTTTCAAGAGGAATAGAAACTCATCACAAGTGAAGAGCCAACCATCCAAGGAGAGGGAGGAGCTGGAATAAAGACAAGTATTTGGTGAGCGCACATATTAATTCAGTTAATGTGTATCATACCCGGTGGGCCAACTCTATGGCCCAGAGTCTTCTGTTATTTGCTTTTTATGAATTATCTTAGATTTATTTCCGTATCAACAATATTGAGAACTGCTTGTTTTCATCATAAAAGTAGCATTATGTGTCATTCCAAGGAGAAACATGAGGCGCTATTTTAAACAAAGGATTTTTAACAAAGGGGCTAATGGAAGGTGGCAGGTTTTGATTTCAGGAGACCAGTTAGGGATAGACAAGAGGGTGTAGGCATAGTCCAAGTGACAAATGGTAACCAGGCATTAGAAACAGGACAAACCAAACCTAAATACTCATATACATGCAACCAACTGTGTATATATTCAGGATATCTATCAATTGGTAAGTATGAATAAAATGTATATATCCTATTAATATATATATATAGAAAGTAGCACAAAATAATTACCAATTAGCTGTGGAGATGAGAGAAGAGATCTGGGAAGCCTTTTCAATTTTGACTCTAATGGCTGTATGGATTATAGTTCCATATGAACCAATCAGACAATAAAATCCATATTCCTACAGCACATAGTGAGGGGCTTAGCAGAAACATAGCTAATTACATAACAATATTAAGCATCAGATTCTCTGAGTTCATAGTGAGAACCATAGATGGATCCATTCCTGTAATCTAGTCCTTTAAATTTCAGAGGTCAACAATATTTGTTAAATATATTTTTTTAAAAAGACTTTCATTCATACTTACCAATTCATAGATATCCTGAATTTTTATTCTATACATATGTGATGAAGTATACATTAAATTTTTTATATCAATAGAGATGTTTTCATTGATTAGAGTTTCTATATTGATTTCTATTATTAGATTGCCTGTGATTAATTTGAGCTCAATAATAAGACATGATCATGAGTATTATGTCTTTAAAACCCTTTCAGTAGAGGTAATACATTTTGCTTTGTATCCATGCCTCAAATTACTCACCCACCAGTTTTATTCTTTATATTAATCTTGGTTCCTAAATTATGCAACCACTCTCACTGCTGTGCCTGTGTACAGGCACTATTATGCCTTCCAAAAAATTAGGACCTCTATTTTCCATCAGGAGATTTCTCCCTTGCTTGCATTCAGGAGAAATATATATGTTAATGCCTTCTTGATATACTGTAATAGGCATAAACGAAAGTTCAGTTCTCCCAGTAGAACTATTATTGCAATTTAGAAATATGTTTCACATCTCCAGCTTCCAGTTCTTCAATAATCCAACCAAGAATGTAAATAATGTTTTCACAGTATGCTTTTAAAAACCATGACATTCAGGAGAAGCACTAATTATATTTAGGTACAAATCAAATTTAATATCATCTGAACAGTTCAGTTCAGAAATCAAAAAGACCTTCCGATAAGGCCAGCACTTACACTTAAGGAGCATGCCTTTTGTTGTTGTTTCTGTTCCCTTAGTTTTCTGATTTAAAATTGAAACTGAAATATTATTGAAATAATATTTTTATGTATGTGCAATACAAGGTCATCTTTAGTAGACCATAAGGTCTCTCTGGAGCAAATTATGTTGAGTGATCACATACATATTCCAAACAATTGTTCTCTAAAAGCACCCACCATTTTGTATGTTTATCAGGCTGAGCTTTGTATGTAATTATGACCTTTATAGAGAAAATGTAGTCAAACATTCATTCACATACTGTTAAATTTTAGAGTTGAAAATGGAAGATGACAAATCAAAGCTATAAATCATTTAAGATAGTAATTACAGTTATTATTATTACTATTATTTTGCAGTTTTTGGCCAGGGCCAGGCTTGAATCTGCCACCCCCAGTATATGAGGCTGATGCCGTACTCCTTTGAGCCACAGGTGCCGCCCATTACAGTTATTATTAATCTACAGGAATCATTTTAGTATATTTTTTGTCTAAGTCATAAAATAATTGTCTGAAGAAGTCTTCTATTTTGTTGAAAGCATTTATTACATCCTAAGCTTTAGATTTCAAAACTCTACTAGCAAAATTAAATACCTGGAAAGGGGACATGCTGGGGAGTTTTGGATTTAATGCCTTTTGGTTTAACAACATTTGAATATGTATCATCTCTGAGTCTCATGTCATCCTTACAAAAGATAGGTATACTAGACATTCTGGTCTGATTGCCTTATGTACCCATAAATATCCACACTTATTACGTCTCCATTAAAAATAAAATAAAACATGGCAAGTGTTCTATTTACCAGTGTCCGGGTCCTTAACCATTTTTTACTTTTTTCTTCTCTTTTCTTTATTTTTATTTCCCTTGTTTAATTTTTTTGACTTGAAGTCTAAACTGTAGTGTAGGTAAAAGTAGCAGTTTCTCTGTAAGAAATTATTTATATACTAATGTTCCTCCTTCAGGCATAGAGAAGGATAAAAAGAGTTTCTTATAGATAAGTAGTTGGGGTCTAAATCTGAATTCATGCGGATTCAGGCATGTCTGTTCATGTCAGACAGGCTGGTGGAACAGGACTTGCTGGCCACTTTGAAAGTTGGCTAAGATACCTAAACAGAGAAAGGTTTAATCTCTGTTCACCATTGATGTTCTAAGATTCCTATCCAGGAGTGGTGAACTTCTGAAAAAAGTTTCTCTGGAAGGAGTGAGGAATTTTCTGGGAGAAAGCAAATCCCTAGGGAAGAAAGAGCCAGATTCCCTGATCTTTCCTGATTGGTGAAACCAGAGTTGACAATCAAGAGGGGTTCTTACCAGTAAAGCATCTTATATGCTGCCATTAATAACATTTACCTTTGTGTCATCATCCATTAATGAGAATATCTATGAATAGCCCTCTCATAGGGTGTAAAAAATCAGAAGAGATCCCTTTTTTCTTCCCTCAGTTTTCCATAGAACACTGTGTACCCCTGCATTCCAACACACCATGGGAGTGACAGGTGGGGGAACCTTGTGAAGAGAGTGGCCAGGAGTAGAAGCCAGATAGTTCCACTCAGGAAATGAGTAATACTTTTTGGTATGTTTTGTTTTTTTGTTTTTGGCCGGGGCTGGGTTTGAACCCGCCACCTCTGGCATATGGGGCGGTGCCCTACTCCTTTGAGCCATAGGTGCTGCCTCGAGTAATACTTTTCAATCTTCTCTCTCCCCAAGATGAAGGTTGGAAAGAAGCAAAGAAATGCCTGGTCAAAACAGTGGTACCAACAATGTATCAGCTGATACCAACATTGCACAGCAGAACATGAGAATGACACTCTCCTTAGTTATTACAGGAACACTAGGGGGGCAATTGGCAGAGTCTGATATCTAAAGTGAGTAACAGGGGCAAGTTATTTTCATTTACTGTTAATATAACACCTTATTAGTCCTTAAGCTTGTATAATACAAAGCACTAGAAATATTTTCTTCCGCTCTGCGCCTGTGGCTCAAGTGGCTAAGGCACCAGCCACATACACCTAAGGTGGCGGGTTTGAATTCCAGCCCAGCCCGCCAAACAACAATGACGACTGCAACCAAAAAATAGCCAGGCGTTGTGGCGGCCACCTGTGGTCCCAGCTACTTGGGAGGCAGAGGCAGGAGACTCGCTTGAGCCCAGGAGTTGGAGGTTGCTGCGAGCTGTGATGCCACAGCACTCTAGCCAGGGGGACAGCCTGAGGCTCTGTCTCAAAAAAAAAAAAAAAGAAAAAGAAAAAGAAAAGAAATATTTTCTTCCTACCCTGTAAGATAGCCACAGATTTCATTGCTTCATAAATAATTTTTGCATTAGTTCTGAAGTATATGTTAAATGATAAAAGCACAAGCATTCAAAAGAATTAAAACATTTATATGTTAAGTAATCCATTTATTAGTTAAAGCAAAATGCAAGTTTTCTTTAGGATTTTTATAGAAAGACAACATCATGGTAACAGTAGTAAGCAAAAAAATAAACCAAAACTGAGGACGCAGACTAGAGTGGTTATACAAAGAGACTATGCATTTACTTGATGAGTTCTGGGGGTAGGCAGACACCCCAAATCCAAAGCAGCAGCCTAGCCATTGATAAATATCTATCCATTAGTGCTGACAAAGACAGGATGGATGGCTATTTCTGGAGTGAAAGCACAGGATAGGAGAAAACACATTTGGAGGTTTCGCCCCTGCTTCCAATTTCAGCAATCCATTTAATAGAAGCCAGAGAAGCCGTATCCTCCATAGCAAGACGGGCGGCCACAGCCGAACCCAAAGCCACATCCAGAGCGGTACCCGTAGCCTCCAAAGCCATAGCCATAGCCCAGTCTGCGGAAGCTGCCACAGCCACAGCCGTAGCCGTAGCCCAGGCCCCCGAAGCCCCCGCAGCCGCAGCCCAGGCCTCCGTAGTAGCCGCCGTAATAGCCACCGTAATAACTCATGGTGTCAGGAGTGGTGAGCTGGTTTGCTGTTCAGACAAGATCCCGAGTGTGAATGTCAGCCCGTCCAGGAGGCGGCTTATATACCCTGGCCAGAGCACGTGCTAAAAAATGTGCCCCTTCTCGTGTCATTCCACAAAATGACAAGTATCTTGCCCGAGGCAGCTCATTAATCCATGTCCCCTGACAACACTCCTTAAGAATGCATATGCTTGTTTGGCTACCTAGTTAAGTTGCCCCTGAGCTTGTGGCTTTAATGTTATTAGAAGAAATTGCTGTTTCTTCAAAGGCTATGCATACCAAACTCTAAATAGAAGTATTATTGGTCCCTTCACACGGATCACATTAAATATTCTTGAATTCCTAAAAACATTCCAATCACAAGCATTGGGGAAGGGGGGGTGTTATAATTGATTCTACAAAATTTTAAGAATTAGCCAAAATCAAAACTCTTACATCTATCAGTTTCTTCATACGGCACCCATATTTTATAGCATGAGAAACAAGCAAGCTTTGTTTTATCTATTGTATATACTAGAAAGCAGCAATAAAGCATCATCTAATTTCTTGAGTCTGAGAATTTTGACCATGGACAACTGTTATGTTTATTTTTGACTGTACAGACCGGAATGCAAACTCTTTACTCTGATTTAACAATAAGGACAATTGCAGTCGCAAATGGAGAGACTATTACAGTGGTCAGAATGCAGCCAGTGGGAAGTGTCATCAGAGTTCTCTCTCTATATCCTGGATCATTTTTCTGTAATAAGTTCTAACTTTAGTACTTTCACAGATGATGATTATACCTGCTCCAGACACCATTTCCCTGTATTTTCTACCTTTTATCATTAAACCACATAGCCTGTATTTTATTTTTCAAATTTCACCCCAAACATTCCCCCAACTTCCTTTCCTCCACTATTCATCGCTGTGTCTGTAATAAAAGTGTAAAGCGAGTGAAATGATTTCAATTGCAAGCGATTTAGTCAAATCAGCACTGCATTCCTTCCATTCAGATCCTCATAGGCAATATGACACGTTTTCCCTTTTTTCTCTTTGCCTCTTCTGTACCTGGTTTTTGGTTGCAGGCAATTTCTAGCCTTTTGTAAAATGTCAACTATCCCAATCCATGACGTTGATAATGCTGTCTCTTGTTTAAAACATATTTCAACTTTTCAAATTACCTGAAATTTCAAAAAGATTCGTAAACTTAGAATGACATGTAGAATAGAAATTCTCTGAAATTCTCAGAAATTCTCTGAATATAAGTCACAGTTATGAAGAAGCCAAGGGGTAGGGAGAAGCTTTTTAGGAACAGTTGGTCTGATGTTCACAGAGTCCCTTAGCTAAACCCAGAGAGTTACCAATGCCCAGGGCTGACCTCCATCTGATTAAACCCCACCCCCACACACCTATTTGTCTTGAGACTTGAAACTCCAGAAACTTGCCAGTTACTACTATATAACTATAATCACACCATTAAGCTTTTGTTGAGATTTACAAGTAATTGGGTGGCATTTAAAAAAAACATTTTGTATCCATTTTGTATCCATAACATTCTATACACTTACGGGGTACATGTGATTTTTTTTTGCAGTTTTTGGCTGGGGCCAGGTGTGAACCCACCACCTCTGATATATGGGGCCGGCGCCCTACTCCTTGAGCCACAGGCGCCACCCGTGATATTTTGTTTTATGCATAGAATCTGTAATAGTTAAAGTATAGTATTTGAGGTATTCACTTTGAGTACTTATCATGACTACATGCTGCCAACCACTCTTCTTTTCTAGGGACTTTGAATGGACAATACATGGTTGCTAACATACACCTTTTCTCTAACTGTGTGTTTGTCCTCAATTAACCTACCTTTCTTCAGACCCCTAGCCCCACCTGCACTGTACACCTTTCCTAGACTCTGGTATTTATCATCCTGCATTCGACTGCCAAGAGATCACTGTTTCACTCTCACATAAAAGTTACAGGCTGTGATATTTGTCTCTCTGTACCTTCTTTATGTCATTTAACATGAACACCTTCAGTTCAAATGTCACTTTTTTGTTGTTATTGTTTAACAAAGTGTTTGTTGTCTGTCTCGCCTGGTGTCAAATCAAACCCCAGCATTAAATTGACGCTCAAAAATTGTTTGAATAAATTATATGACTTAATTGACATCAAAGCAATAGCCATGCATGGCATAATATGAGCAACTCATTGGCTATTTTGGACAATGTGTCAAGTCTGGACAGGAGTTCCAACAAGTTGTGTAAGGGTAGGATACAGCCCAACAGTAGGCTTGCTCTATAATGTCTAACCCAATTGATTCCATTGGTACTGCCCCTTTCAGAAAATCAGTCAATTGATAAAGTGAACATTTTCATTTTTATAAATCATTTAGAATTATGAATAAATTGCCTGCTATTAAGGATTTCACATTCTTGTGTGGCTCTATCAGACCATGTGATCTTGATTACATGCTATTTTTTTTTGTTTTGTTTTTGAGGCCTAAGACTGTCCGTATATATGGAAATAATATGGAATATAACCGTAAAACTTCAATAATATGATAAATGCAAAATGCTTTCTGAAGAAGAAAATGTGACTATGATACGCTTAGTCTATTTGCTCATTAACTATAAAGGCAAGAAAAATCATTTGGAACAACATGTAGCATCTGTTTTTCTCCTTTTATGCACAAGTGAGGAAAGTAACAATGGGGTTTTTAAGGGATTATCAGTTTTCTGTCTATTTATTGGATCCAAAGTAGATTTGTACCATTATTATTTTTTAAGCAGCTTTAACTCTTGATCCAATATTCTACTCCTATTGATGGATGGAAGGGTAAAAAAGAATTCTTTTTATTTAATTCAAAGCTCTTTCTTTCTCTCTTTCCCCCTAAACAGACTGAAATTGTAATGATATTGATTATGCTAAGAATGTCAATGTGGTAATAATTATAGTGATTACTACTTTTCAGACCCATAGAAACTGTCGCTAGAGATATTACCCAAATGAGAGGAAACTACTTTCAATGAAGTCCTATTCTACTGGGTCAGACTTAGAGCTCCACCATCCATAGAAGTACTTAGTCTTATGTCCTCTGCTCAGCCTCCTGCATAGAACTGTCCTGGTAGCATTGACTGAAACAACTCATGATCTACTTTTTTAACCTATAATTTAATTTTAACATTGCTTATTGGTTACTTACATTCAGAAGCAGAATAACTAAATATTGGTTAGTTCAATTCTTTGTATCAGAACAATAAAAATGAAATATGGTTGTTAATAGAAGAGACCTTTATTCATAAAATAAGTTGTAACAATTCAGCTTTTATAACTATGACCAGAACATTCAGAAGGTTCTATTTGACAACACTGAAGGAGAAAGATACATAAGAAGAGAGTCTGAATACTGTAGTCTAATATCTGGGACTCCAGACAGCATAATTTTGATCCTGGTCTTGCTACTAATTATCAGGAAAAATCACATGTTTTGAGTTTCTATGTTTACAAAATTAGAGGACAGCATTGAATAGTTTTTATGTCGCTTTTTGTCCTTTAATTCTATAATTCCATTTTTTATTCTCCTTAATTGGCTTATATCAAACATCTGTAAGTTTATATCATTAGCTGAAATTCAGTTTTGAAAAAACAATATTGTTTTAGTTATTTTGTAAAGGTATGATGTTTTACTAAAGTTTATCTTTTCTTAAATTATTGAATGATATTTTTCATCAGTTGAAGCTACATAGTCCTTTGCCTTGTGTGGATATTTCTGTGTGTTTATTCTGCCTACAATAAAAGGCTTACAAATCCTTTGGTATGATGATGATGACTATGACAATGATGAACACAATATTTCCATGAAAGGACAAGTGGAAGGCCTTGGATGAGTAAAGGTCATGTTTTATCATCCAGTTTGTAAAAGACCTTTAGGTCAGGCTTATTTTACACGCATAAAATACTAGATAAAAAGGGAAAATTATGAATAAAGAAAGATTACATATAATGCAAAGATTCATAGTAAAAGCTTACTTTTCCTAAAGGTTGGGGGATATGAATTATGAGAATGTTGAAAAGTTTTCTTTGATTAATGCATTAATGATACAAATATTTTCTTTTTTCTTTTTTTTTTTTTGAGACAGGAGCCTCAAGCTGTCCCCCTGGGTAGAGTGCCATGGCATCACACTCACAGCAACCTCCAACTCCTGGGCTCAAGCGAGTCTCCTGCCTCAGCCTCCCAAGTAGCTGGGACTACAGGCACCCGCCACAACGCCCGGCCATTTTTTGGTTGCAGCCATCATTGTTGTTTGGCGGCCCGGGCTGGGGATTCGAACCCGCCACCTTAGGTGTATGTGGCTGGCGCCTTAGCCGCTTGAGCCACAGGCACCGAGCCAATGATACAAATATTTTCATGGTTAATTTTAAGTGTCAGATTCCTGATTAAGTGATAGCAAGACAGCTAGTTAAACATTATTTCTGTGTATATCTGACAATGCTTCAGGAAGTATTATTTGTTTTGTAGACTGATTAAAGATCCCCTCATGCGTATGTGTGGGCAGCATGGAATCTATCTGTTTAGGGCCTGAATAGAATAAAATCTTGTGAGCTCCTCCCTCATAGTAAACATCTTTCTGTGTGTCCCTGTATATCATGGGGTGATCTTGGTTCTGTTACTCTGGAGAACCCTCACTAATACAGAAGTCTAACATGTAGATATAGCCATAAAAACATATCTAACACCAGCTTATCTTATTAAAGAATAAAGAGAATAAAATTTCTTGAAAGAATTGGAAGGTTAGTTCACAATTTTGAACCCCACAGAGAAATTTTAAATAAGTAATATTTGAAAGATGTAAAATAGGTCAATTTCTTAAAATGCATATAAACTTAAAACTCCATAGCTTATTTTGTTGCTATCAAAGTCAATTCTCAAAGTTATCTAACTAAAAGAAAATAATTATATTCTATTGTTTTGAAGACTAATTCTCAAAGTAAAGCTATTGGGGGGGGGCGGGGGCAGGTTTTGGCCGTGGCCAGGTTCGAACTGGCCACCTTCGATATATGGGGCTGGCGCCCTACTCCTTGAGCCACAGGAGCCACCCAGTAAAGCTATTTTCCTGTATGTCAATTTATACATCATATACTATCATATATAAATATATTTACCTGCCTATATAATGATGTGTGTATTCCATTTTTACTTAACAATTAATAAAACTTACATATAAGTATTTACACACAATTGAAATAAATGAACCAAACAAAAACCATATTTTTTTGTTTAATTAGATCATTTATTGGAATGGTACATAAACCAGCTATTACTCCCCCACGCTGAGGATGAAAGGAGACATGATGTAGACACCCTTTTATAAACAGTAAATTCTTTGAAATTCTTAGATTTCACCTGCTGAAAGGCCTAGGGTGAACTCAGCTGGTTGACTGAAAATTATTTTAGCACATCTGCTCGTGGTAACGTAGGTTGGTTACTATAGCAGTAGCTCAGTAGAAGCCAGAGAAGCCGTATCCTCCATAGCAAGACGGGCGGCAGCAGCCGAACCCGTAGCCTCCGTACCCAGACCCGTACCCGTAGCCTCCAAAGCCACAGCCATAGCCCAGTCTGCGGAAGCTGCCACAGCCACAGCCGTAGCCGTAGCCCAGGCCCCCGAAGCCTCTGCAGCCGTAGCCCAGGCCCCCGAAGCCTCCACAGCCATAGCCCAGGCCTCCGTAGTAGCCGCCGTAGAAGCTCATGGTGTCAGGGATGGTGAGTTGGTTTCACAGGCGAGATCCCAAGTGTGAATGTCAGCCCGTGTAGGGGGAGGCTTATATACCCTGGTCAGAGCACGTGATGCCAACTGTGGCCATGCTTTCGTAGCATGCCAAGTTATTCATTTACCTGATGCAACTCATTAATCTGTTAACACAGGAGAGGCACACACTCATTAAAATTTTTGAGCTCGTTTAGCTGCCTGGTTAGAACACCTTTGAACTCATCACATTCTTTTTTTTTTTTTTTTTAAATAATAAGTCTATGTCTTCAAAGTCACAACATTAAAAAAAAAAAAATTCCCTAAATAGAATTCTTCCTTACCAAGTATATTCTATCATTTGTATTTGATAGGGTTTTGTCATTAAATATTTTCCTATTTCTCATTGTTATATTATTATTTGGATTGTTGCATCATACTTCCATCTAGATTCAGATGCATTGATCAAGTTTACACTTTTAAGTCCAGAAAATTTTTAAAATGTCAAATTTATTTCTCAGGTTGAAAAATAAAAGACATGCCCTCCTTCAAAAGAAAATAGGCCATTTTGAAGAAACAAATGCTCTGACCATCTGTAGTACACACAGAGTAGTAGAAATATACATATATTTCTATTTTGTAGTGTGTGTTTGTGTGTGTGTGTGTATAGGTTTCACCTGTTAAAGACATAGGGTGAACTCAGCCTATTGACTGAAGATCATTTTAGCAAATCTGCTCAAAAGATACATATATAATGCATATGTATATATAGACATAATATAAAACCATTTTTATTTTATCTATCAGCTTGCAGAACATCTTTTTGGCTTATTAATAAAATCAAATTTATTTCAGAAACTGAGGCATAATCTAAGAGAACAAACTCACCTGAACATCTGTGTAAAAAATATTCTTTTTATATCATTACTCCCTTATCTAGAATGGGCTCTACTTAAAGCTCTATCTGGAAATGTGGGTGGTCTGGCTCCATGCTTTACAGAAACCTCTTCCTCATCATCTATGTGTCAGTTCTCTTGACCAAACTCTACTTTACTTTGTATTCAACATTCATTCCCAACACAGCAACAACTAGGTGTTTGTTCTTAGTCATTTTTCCACTCCTTGTCATCCTTCTATTTACAGACCTCATTTTATCACATTATTTTTAACCTTACACAGTAGAATTTCCATAGTTGACTGCCTCCTATGCTGACCTAATTTTTATAGCCCAGACATGCACCATGTGTACTCAATGTTCCTTGCGTTGACCACCTCCTTATGTTGATCAGTCTGTTACCATCCCTTGGGTGGTCAATTTACAGAGGTTCTATTGTATTTGCTTTTTCAGTTCTGTGTGCCTCACCCTATTATATTCTCTGAATTTGCAAACTTTTCTTTATGAGATATTACTTATTCATTGAGGGTTTAAATTGTCAAACCATATACCTTATTTCTATGCTGTGTGGGCCATGTAATATTTTTAACAGAGATATTAAAATCTTGATGCCTTAAAGTCTTTAAATTTAAATTTGAGAATTGAAGTGACTAGGGCAAAAAGCAAGATGCAAGGGGAGCTGGCCAGGCTTCCCAGATTTCTTCAGCTCATTCTGGAGGAGATAGTAAATCAAGCCCACCAGAATCTGATCATACCCTGAGCTTGGATCTTTAAGCAACATTTTACTTTATATAACTTTAAACATATGACTGAGGGTATTTGTCATTTGAGGTTTATAAGTAACATTTTTAATAATGCATTTTCACAATTGGATTTGTTCACTGTTCTTCCAAGCAAACAAAAAATTTTGTCAGGTGAATGAAAGAATTAATTCTGCCTGCCACAACTGGTAGCGAGTCTCTAACGTGAAATATGAACTCAAATGGCTTTCAGGGTTTAAAGCCGTATTTAACCCAATATTTGCCTTGGCTGTGAAATTCTTTTCTCCCCTTTATTAACATTCATTCCATCTTCACTTTTTTCCAAAAAATAAAACTACTAGGGAAATTTTTCATTTTTAATGTGTAATTTTGAAGCCAAATAATAAGTAAGTCTAATCAGTTTAAGAATATTATGACTGCTTAGATAAATGTGCTAGTCTGTGTGATCCTGATTAAGGACTAATTTATGCTGTTTCTGATGCACATAGCTATGTTCATATGAAATAAAAGTGAATAGATTCTTCAAATAAAGCTCAACACAAAAATGTGCCCTGATTTATTTGTGTATTTTCAAAGAAGAAATTAATGATATATGTGTATGTACACATCTCACTTTGAAACATGTATATACATCTATAAATACACATGCCTGTGTATATGTATGACCAAGAACAAGTGGTAAAATAACACCTTAAAATGCATGAACCAAAACAGTTTTTTATTGGTCCTTTTCCTGATTGAAAAAAAATAGGATAATGGTAATATCCCTTGGGTATTGATTACCTTTGGAAACTGAGAAATGTACATTTCTTTTGAGGTTGCTTTCTCTTCATTAGGTGGACTCAAAGATTTGAACAATTATTTCTTTGTCCTTCTCTTTTTGAGAGATTTATCCCATAAGATGATAAAAGTTGATTATGAAGCCAAGATCCTATATTGATGTGGGAAATGATGTAAATGAAGTCTTCCATTCACCAAATGGTAGCTTTTATTTGGAAGGTAGGGATACTTATTCTGTATATTCAATTTTTTTCTTCACTCAGATAAACATTAATTAAATTTAAAAAGTGGTATAATAAAATTTTATAATGTATTTTGCTATACATGTCAGGCACAATGCTTTTCTACCTGAAGATGTTGATGTTGCTTTTGTTTTATCCCTAAAGGGCATGTCCTTTAACTTTGGAACCTTAACCTTTGGAATATTAACCTGAATGACTAAGTGCAAAGTAATGGAACCACACAATTATGCTCACTGTCCATTGTGACCCTAGAACATCCAGATAGGATCAGCTAAAAGGACAGGTGATACCGGGTGGCTGAGCAAATTTAACTTTGTGCCTTTAAAATAAAAGCTTTGGTCTTTTGATATAGATGTACACAACAGATAACTATAGTTATGCCTATATGTATGTGCGTATATAAATAGATATGCAGATAGATGCAAATCTAGGTGAAACCAAGATAAATTAACATTGAATTTAAGACTCCCAATCTCTATGTTAGAGCAGTAAAATGTTATAGAAATGGTATTCTAAGAAAGGGACTCCTCCTTCACATCTCCATTAATTCAGCTACAGAACAGAACTTATGAATTACTCTCTTTGGCTATATACTGGGAAAAACCAGACCAGGAAAGGATACTGCATCATGGTGCCTAAATTCAGAAGAGACCTTAGCCATAGTCCTAATACTGATTCTGCCAGTAGAACTGCTATAACTTTTGTGAGTTATGTTTTTCACTTTCAGTATGAGGTGAGCATCACTGCTGTTATTTGCTGTCTGTTCCAGTTCAGCAACTTGATAATACTAATATGGTACTAAATCAAACATACTTAGTCATTTTTGGCCAATTTATGCAAAAAGACTTAATTTTATGTTGTTAACTGATTATATAATTTGATTTTGGAAAAAATGAATGTTTGTTTACATTTTGTCTTATTTCATCAATAAAATTCTCCTTCCTGACCATTTTCTAATCAGAAATTCAGCTGAGAAAGCTCTTTGATTGAACTGTACCTAAGCTAAAAAATAAGTGGGTTCACAATAAAGTCTTGTTGATTTTTTTCACCTTTTTAAGTTGAACAATTTTTCATGTTGTGATGATGGTGCGTAAGAATGCTGTACCATGCCGCAGGAAACTCACTGAAAAAAAGTTAGCTAAAATGAAATTCTTTTGTGCAAATAGCTCCAGCATGATCTTGGTTGTCCAAAGATTGAAATGAGCTTTGGAAAGTCCCCTTATGATTTCAGAAACTGGGTTCCTGGGACAATCATTTACTAGAAACCCAAAAATCCGTATCTTCCATAGCATGATGGGTGACAGCAGGAGCTGTATTCCTAGCCTCTGTATCCGGAGCTGTACCTATAAGCCTCTAAAACCACACCATGGCCCAGTGTGTGAAAGCTGCCACATCCACAGCCGTAGCCATAGCCCAGGCCTCCATAGGTGCTGCCATAGTAGTTTATGGTCGGGGTGATAAGTTGGTTTGCTGTTCAAGGAAGCATCTTGTTTGTGATATTGACTTCAATATACCATGAAAGATTATGTGATAAACACTTGCCACCTATTTTACTGTCATTTTCTGGGTTATATTTACTCCTCACAATCCTGACATGTAAAGAGGCCCAACAACTCATTAAAGTGTTTGAGCTTGCATTGTTACCATGTCATGGAGTCCCTTGAACACATTGCATCACTTTTATGAGAAGAAGTTGCAGTATCTTCAAATTCTGGATATGCTAGATTAGGCGTCCTAAAACCATGGCCCGTGCGCCATGTGAGGCCCAGCTAGGACATTTATACAGCTCACCAGGTGTTTTTGCCACCACTGCCTCTCCTGCTTAGTAGCCATGGTCTGGTCCTCCGATGGTCTGAGGGACAGTGAACTGGCCCCATGTTTAAAAATTTTGAGGACCCCTGTGCTAGATCCTAGGTAGAATTCTTCATAGGCATGTTATGGCAGTGATATGTTTTTAAATTAAGCACTGCTTCATGTCTGTATTTTCTTGAATGGTTATGCTTCACTTATGATTAAGTGAAAGTATTTGGTCAATTTCAGGGCTCTACAATTTATCATATCCTTTCAAACAAATATCAGGATGTCTGCTTATTTAACTCTGTCAAATATTTATCAGGTTTTAGTCTGATGATCCTTCCGTGATGTCTTCTTCCTAAGGTAAGCAAAGCTTTTCCCTCAAAGTAAATATATTCTGTTTCCTTAAACCCTGCAGAGATCAATAAATCAATAAATTCAAGTTCTAGTAGCATGATCATACAACATTGTACTAAGAGTTTCAAATATTTTCTCCAAGGAGGTGTATAAAGTATTACTCTCAATTTATATC